GGAAATAAACATACAATAAAAAAAAAATGCATAAAGTATGAAATTGTTTTATGCAAAATATAAATGTTATATGTGTGTAAGTGCCAAAGGGAAAGTACCAATAAAGATGGTTATATTAGAACATAGCAAGAAAAAAATACCTAAGAGTACACCAGTCAAAAGGAAAACAAAACCCAACTATCCCAAATCATAGTCCAACAGGAACAGTGTCAAGATATTTTTTAGAAGAATATGTACATAATCAAATGTGCTTTATGGTGATTACCAGGCACATAAAGTACTTTGGTCATAAACGATATCAGGTCTAACAGATAAACGTTCAAATATTCTAGATGATAACCATTTGTTCATATCTGTGGCGATTATCAATTAAATACATGCATGTATACTGATAAGTGGTGCAGAAAATAGTGGTAGAATTGCATTATTGATGCACCCAGGGTCTTGACTCCTGAGGGTCCATGATTGAGACTTGCTATAATCCATTTTAAGTTACTATATCAAGCCTTATTACAATGAATTTTAGATGTTAGCAGGAAAATGCCAATTTATTAAGAAGAAATAGAGATGTGCATTGTAATATACCAGCAATATGATCTAATCTACATTTTTGTGTTAATTAAAGCATCACTAGACTATTCTGAAAGTGAATTTACTCAATTTTCATCAATAATTTTAGCAGGAATAAAGTCATCAAAAGAGGCGTTTTTCGTAGATTCCTGGCTCAAATTTTCATAATCGAGTCAACGTTAGTTTTCTTCCCAACTTCCACACTACTGTAGTACTGGTAAATGGGCTGAACCATAAGTAAACAAAATGGAACTATATTTGGAAAATATTTGTTTTTATTGGTTTATTTCAAAAACAATGCAATAATCTATCTTGCTGCATGGTACATTTTGTTTAGATTAATAACCTCATTTATCCTAATTCATTCATAATAATAAACCATTAAATTCAAACAAACCTTGCATGAATTTTAAGAATATTCTTGTCTCAAGCAGCTAAACGGCACTGGTTTTAAACCCTAACATTAGCAACACAGATTAACAAATCATGGAAGTTGGGTTTAAACTGTATAAAGAAGATTATCTGCGACGATTAATGAGTCAATGATCATCAATTCAACATCAATTACATTCTACCGCACAATATGTCGAAAGAGTAAATACAAAGAATTAAAGATTTGTGAAAACGAAGCATTAGAGATGAGGTATAATTTATTATTCAATTTCTGAAACAAACACCTAAATATCACTAGACAATGAAGATAAATCACTATGGTGAATAAGTCTGAGATGCCATGGCCATTTTTCTAAGATCTAATGAGGACAAATGAGACCAAAGATCTTTTTGTTTAATTGTGTTCTTAACTCCAACAGATGTATATGTACATGCATCTCTCAAGAATCATAATGTCAAAATAGATCTGCTTTGGTACCCAGAAAAGAAAATTCCAACAATTCAAATTATAAAAAATATTTTGTTATTAAAAATAAGTTTGTTTTTATAATGCAACAATACACAAGGGGAACATGGTTCTGTAAAATATATGTTGGACATAATCAACTGTTAGCTTTTTTAACATGTCAACCGTAAAAACTCATTACAATCAATAGAAGGTAAGCCTTGTATCTCCAATAAAATATATAATTCAACCGAATCATGCTTTTTAAGTGTATGTCAATTATTCAAGAAGTTGTATAACAGGAGTATATTTCATAGGCTTGAAATGTGGAAGTAAAACTGGTATATTGCCGAAGAGCAAATGTGACTGAAGCTTTATTATTATGTTTTAAATTTGGATAAAATTTTGAATAGAGCCATTTCTTGACTATGCTCAAAACAACTTGATAGGCTTATTTCTCTCTTACTTCAGAATACTCACAGAGACTTTTCTCACAAGTTTCTCACAAAGTTTCTCAACATCATCATGTGAATGTCATGCTTATTAGACAAATTATTCTCTGTTTCTGCAATATCTTAGATTAAAACACAATGACTTGACATGTCACAGAAAGGTTAAACGATTCAGCTGAATGGATCAATCTTCATCCATCACCTAAACAGAAAAGAATTTAAGCAGAAATAATTCATCAAAATTGGGCTTCAAGAAGAAAGAAAGTCAATAGAAGAAAAAATGTGTTTTACTGACACAGGTTCAATTTATATCACATGTTTTACTTATACTTTACAGTATTACACATGACAAACATTGAAAACATTCTCTTATTGGGGTCAATAGTATAACACTTAAGTGTTCAATTAGTGACACATCAACCAGTCCTCACATATCAATGGAACCATCTTCAAGGAATGACAAGCTCTGATTGGCTTGGTTGGGATAGACATACTTGGGCTTACCATACAATGCTGGACTCTCATTATCATCTTCCACATTGAAAGCTGCTGCTCAAGATCATTTACATTGTTGTGCCTTCCGTACATCTATACACAATGCCACTGCATCCCTTAATTCTGCCAGGTCCAAATGTGATTTGAACTTGGGTGTCGAGATCTGGAATATGAACAGATACTGACTCATTCGCAATGTGTGATAAAAATTTCAGAACATAAAGTTCAAACTGAATGCTTCAAATATGCACAAATCCTTTTTAGTACCGATACTTCTAAAGCTTAGATGGAAATAAAATAGTACCCTGGCTACTGGCCAATCGTGTTTGGTCTTGGAGCCTATAAAGATCAAGTATTTTCAAATATGAAAAAGTTTCATTACCAACTTAAAAAGGTTACATGAAAATTGATCAACTAAATCTATATATTGTTTATATGGGAACAATAAATTTTGTAATTAGTAATTCACCAAGCTTAAGCACTGCGGTTAAGTAGTCAAGAGTTCTAATATCTGAAAAAGTGTGAATATTTAAAAGAAATCATATGGCCTACCTTTAAATATATCCAATATTTTGTCCTTCAAAATATAAACTGACGTAATCCATCACGCTGAAGCAGTTTTTGCTTGCCAATTTTCTTGAAAAATAACTTTCGGGTCCTCTGTTTGAGTGACGTCACACTTCCAAAATATGATATTCAAAGATACAATCCTGGATAATCTCCATTTGGGAATTTATGTGTCACAATATGTACAACAACCTCACATCTTGCAATGGCGGATGTCACCATTATCAGGACAAAGGTACAATATATTAATTTAAAACGATCAAGAGCACCCGTCAAACATATGTAAACATGCAATGTCTCAAATGGAGAACTATTGAAGTGGTCCGTATTTGTGAAACATCTCAAAAGTACATGTAACATCCAATGATTGGGCTTTAACGTGGACAATTTTAGCCCACAATTCTTTAGGATAGGTGGGGGTTAGTAGTGCCAAATACACATACTTAGAAGATAGTATCAATATGTCAATGGGTAGGTGGTCTGGTGACTCATACAGATACATGTACTTCATGAATCATGACACCATTAACTTCATAAACAATAACGTTCTAAACACCATGTAATTCACACTCTCATTTCCAGTGTTATACAGTATGTCTAAATATACCCATCTTCCATATATGGGAGATACATTTTCATTAACAATTCCTATGATCAAGTTCAGTGCTTGTGCTTGGATATTTTGGCACTACTTTGCCTTTAAGAAACAATTTCATTACCGTTATGTACAAATTGTTGCTGCTGTGGCAAAACTTACTTTATGTGTGGTGATAAAGTTAGGATAAAGATATTGATCTCTCTCTCTCTTTCTCACTCATCCGAGATTAAATTATCTATGGGCGAGCTAAATGTAATCAAAGGAAGTAGAGCAAAGCTTATTTCCTCAACAAACGCTGAAACAGCAATCATTGATGTCATTGAAAATTACTTCTTGAAAATGCTATTTTGATGTGGGTCACAAAGCACTTGTGGTCTTCAAATGATCACATGATATGTTTAGATTTGAACAGAACAACCTCCTTCGGATATTTTCCCAGGTTAGGAAATTTTAGATTCACGTAAACTTAACTGTCATTAGTTAAAATAATATATTTTATCCTGGGGAACAATAGCTCATTTTTTCCATTATCCAGTAACCTCTACACAATTTTAAGCCATTAAAAATTTCAGTCATAGACTGAACATATCCTTGTGGGAGGAGGCTTAATAAACCCTCATATTGATGATGAATATACACTACAATAATCATTTATCAAATGAAATAAATACAAATTATTTAATTAATTTGATTTAAATGATTTGACTTAATGCAGTTATTATGTAGGGACTTACTACCCTTAATCAACCATTGCCTCTTTTCTTGTTGTATATAAATTGCATGTATGATGCTCATAAATTGATCTCTCGGGTTGAGTGCCTGACATGAGGGAACATCAGTGCTCATAAATTGATCCCTTAGGTTGAGTGCCTGACATGAGGGAACATCAGTGCTCATAAATTGATCCCTCAGGTTGAGTGCCTGACATGAGGGAACATCAGTGCTCATAAATTGATCCCTCAGGTTGAGTGCCTGACATGGGGGATCATCAGTAATTAAGAAAATACTTTTGTTTAAGGTGGTTACACAACCAGAGGCCTTACAAAGGCTTTAAAAAGAAAGTGTGCATGCAAAAAAAGTAGATATCACAGACTTCATTTTTTACTATGTGTGAGAAAACTTTAACATAAGATTAAGACGGACGGATGGGTGGGTGGGTGGACAGATGGAGGGCTTCCCTATACCTATCCCTACTAGAGAACTTTGTTCTTTGGGATAATAAGAACATGTATAAATTTCATTGGATAAGCTGATCATCATATAGTATGTTCATTATATTTCATTATCACTTGACAAATACGACTTTCTGAATAGGAAAATCATATCTGTCTGAGGTCAATTATCCATAACAAATTGTTTTTGTATAAGATTGATACTCTTCAATGTAAGGATATGAATAACACAAAAAAAGTAATTATAGTCATAATTCAATTCTATTGTAAACAATGTAAAGATACAAATAACACAGAAATGTACTTACCAGGATTGTTCTTGAAGCTTATCCTCTCTGAGTATGGCACCATCTTGTTGTTGATGTATATATCTGGGGGTTGACTGGTCACCTGTGTCGTGAGTCTACGTGTAGTTGTTTGTGTCATTCGCGGTTGGGTTGTATGGGGGTCTATAGGATCTGATCGAGTAACTGTCTTATTCTTCAACAGACCTACAATGTAAAATAAATTAATTCTGTGATATGCACAATGAGTGCAAAAATATATGAAAGGCTTGCTTTGAAATTTTGGTCTGAATTGAGGATTTCCCGTGTTAAAAATAAGAGTTTTTTAAAGAGGTCATACACCAGTGGATGAGAGTTTGGGGGATATGTATCTAGACAATATTGAGTATGGGCTTTCATACCAACAAGGTTTGGAATAATAAGCAAATTGACTTCTCAAACTTAATGCCAAAGTCTTACAGTGTTCTTGGTAATTAAATCATGACCATTAAATACCCAAAAAATCATTCATTGCCATCCATTTAACCTGACTAGACTCTCACATTGCTGTAAATGAAATGATTGTGAATGATCTTTTTTGGCACATTGAGGGTCTCAAATAATGGTTGTGCAGTAAATAGCCTATGAGTCAGATTATTGACACATTGAGTGTCTCAAATAATGGTTGTGCAGTAAATAGCCTATGAGTCGGATTATTGACACATTTTGTGTCTCAAATAATGGTTGTGCAGGAAATAGCCTATGAGTTGGATTACTGATTGACACATTGAGGGTCTCAAATAATGGTTGTGCAGTAAATAGCCTATGAGTTGGATTATTGACACATTGAGGGTCTCAAATAATGGTTGTGCAGTAAATAGCCTGTGAGTCGGATTATTGACACATTTTGTGCCTCAAATAATGGTTGTGCAGGAAATAGCCTATGAGTTGGATTACTGATTGACACATTGAGGGTCTCAAATAATGGTTGTGCAGTAAATAGCCTATGAGTTGGATTATTGACACATTGAGGGTCTCAAATAATGGTTGTGCAGTAAATAGCCTATGAGTCGGATTATTGACACATTGAGTGTCTCAAATAATGGTTGTGCAGTAAATAGCATATGAGTTGGATTATTGACAAATTGAGTGTCTCAAATAATGGTTGTGCAGTAAATAGCCTATGAGTCGGATTATTGACACATTGAGTGTCTCAAACAATGGTTGTGCAGTAAATAGCCTATGAGTCGGATTATTGACACATTGAGTGTCTCAAATAATGGTTGTGCAGTAAATAGCATATGAGTTGGATTATTGACATATTGAGGGTCTCAAATAATGGTTGTGCAGTAAATAGCCTGTGAGTCGGATTATTGACACATTGAGTGTCTCAAATAATGGTTGTGCAGTAAATAGCCTATGAGTTGGATTATTGACATATTGAGGGTCTCAAATAATGGTTGTGCAGTAAATAGCCTGTGAGTCGGATTATTGACACATTGAGTGTCTCAAATAATGGTTGTGCAGTAAATAGCCTATGAGTTGGATTATTGACATATTGAGGGTCTCAAATAATGGTTGTGCAGTAAATAGCCTGTGAGTCGGATTATTGACACATTGAGTGTCTCAAATAATGGTTGTGCAGTAAATAGCCTATGAGTCGGATTATTGACACATTGAGTGTCTCAAATAATGGTTGTGCAGTAAATAGCCTATGAGTCGGATTATTGACATATTGAGGGTCTCAAATAATTTTGTCTACTCATTAATTGCAACTTGCTATATCACGATAAATTGTTTTACAGTGTACATCACTATAGCAAACATTATTATAACGAAATCTAGATGTTTGCAAAGGAAATTACAAAATATGACATAAGTGTAATGCTAATAAAGGAGAAATAGAGCAACATTATGATTGACCTAGATCTAGACCTAAAGCTTTTTTCTTCAATAATTTTTCACAGACATTTTTTCAGTTGACTCGTGGCTCAAGTTTTCATAATCAAGTGGACAGTTCTTCAAGACCTGCCCCACTAATAGATATATGATCAACAGAAATAAAAAATAAAATGAGCACAAATATAGAGCTGACACATTAAACAAGGATTGTATGAATTAAACTTGATTAATTTCATGTACAGAACCATATTATAGATATTAGATCATACGCATCAATGAACAAATATCATAAAATGCCAGGAATAATATTGACAGAAGTTTCACAATCAATAATAACTAGAAAATGGCAACTCCACGGAGTAGCAAATCCCAACGAACACTGTATAAATCGTCAATCTGTACAGTCACAATGAAATATTTACCATCGCCTCTTACCTTCAATAAATATTTTAAATCATTGTAGTATCATGTAACCATTCTTTCAAGATAACTCTAAGTAATGGTGAATTTCTGCTCTAGTCAGCCATTTTGAATTTTCAGAGGAGCAAATCAGAAAAACAATGCCATAATTGTGATCTACTCCGAAATTCCTTCAATTTGAGTATAATATAGCCATACTTTTAAGAGATCAGAAAATAATTGCGAAATCCCACATTAGGCGGCCGTTTTGAATTTTTTGAGGCCAAAAATCAGAAAAATGCTACAATATTTGCAATCTACTCTAAATTGCCTTTCATTTGAGTATAATAAAGCAATACTTTAAAAACATCTCAATTCCCAATCCCCCATTTACAGCCCTTGGGGTCAGGGTGAAAAACCCGGGATATATGTGAAATAGATAGATGTTATTAATATGCTACCAAAATTTCAGATAATAATATTTATTATTTTGGTTTAAAATGAAAAACAGATTTCTGCGAAAAATTCCTGCCAATTTTAAACTGGCGGCCATCTTGATGCGTAAAACTATTCACCAATATACATCTTTCCACAAAATATGAAGAAAATCTGACAACAAGTATTCGCGTTATCTTCTGGACAGACGGACGGATGGACTGACTGACGGACGGACGGATGGACAGACGGAGGGCAATATCCATACAAAATGTATGGTGTAAAGTGTAAAATGCTTGTTCACATACAAAATTTAAACAAAATCACTCTATTTCTTTTCCAGTTATAGCAACAACATACATGTAATATAGCACACATAAAAATGGCTGCCATTTTTCAAAACTTTGTACTCACATTGGGCGTATATGTGTAAAATATAACCAATATTAAGCCAGTGGTATTTGAGAAATTGCCTGGAAGGATGTAAGTACATATGGACGTATAGACAGACTCATTCCCTATATCACCTCCAAACTTCGTTCAATGGGATAATGATTCAATTCACTATACACATTTGCATCTCATTAAATATTTGTTTGTTCACAATGTAAGCAATGCATCAATGCTGTTCATATTCACATACCGTATTCTCTGTAATTACCGCCCACTCTCTAATAAGCGCCCACCCCGCTTCACAAAGTTCAAGAAACATCGAGGAATCAACAAGAATTGAAGAATATATCAGGAAAAAAATATTTCTCAAAATCCAGGAGCGGGCGATAATAGAGTACTTACCCTAAAAATGCTGTAAACACGACGCGTTTTGTAATTCTATGCATCCTCTCGATACATATCTATCGATGGGTGCTTCCCACGCCATATCATGCTAATATTGTCTCCAAATAGCCTAGTCCATAATGAATGAAGGAATTGTTCTTTATCGGCATTCAGAAATTTCAAAAGCTACTGCGCAGATGTTCTGCGCATGTCAAGGTCGTGAACTTTCTGGTTTCTTTTTAATGTTTCTCGACTTTTACACGACTTTTGCACGAATAATGATGATCTCTCATCAAATTAGAAATAATGTATAACTTTAGATCGATATCCAGCAGTCTCTAGTGGAAATATTGAAGGTAATCGGCGATAATGACAAAGTGGGCGTGCCGGAAATAAATTAGACATAGACGGGTCTTCAACCACTGTCAATATTGTCTAAGCGATCTTTACCGTATTCTCTCCAATAACAGCACTTGTCATATTATTATAAAAATATGTTGAAGAAAATGCATTCTTGTCAAGAAAAATTGCCATACATGAAATTCCTCGGGATTTCTGATTTCTTTCATACATGGGCGCTTATTAGAATGGTCTAAATAATGTATTTTCAATTTTCTAAACGCCCTGGGCGCTAATTACAGAGAATACGGTATTTGGTAGAGATTAACATTTTTATTTTCCCTATAAAAAGAGAGAGATGAACCTTTAAAAATAGTCATTTTTGATAACCATCATATATGTTGAACTTTGGAAAGTAAAAATACAATATTACATGTATCTTAATTAATTTTAATTTTTATAGTATCATTTACGGGAATTGTTATTGATTTATTCAATGTAGAGATTTCTTTCATTACATCATTTCTCATGACCTCCAATAGCCTTAAAGGGAGAATCAGATCTAAAGGGAGTGACAAAATTGCAAGCAACATGGACAGTTGACCTATAAATGGATTCGTCAAAATCTCAAACATACTGTATCTCCTAAAAGATCCGGAATATGTTATTGCTCGGTGAGGCTGTTTAAGTTTCAAAAAGCAAAATTGGGGAAAATATTTTTATAAACTTTGAATCATATCCATATTGAGTGTCTGGGTAACATACTTCCAAGATTTTGTTCCTTTTTTATAATTTTAAACTATGCATAGTGCATCTTTAAAACATGAAATCAAATAATTATGAAGAGAAATGTGATTTGATGAGAAATGTTGATTTGATTTATATAGTGATCTGAAGTTACAATACAGCATTTTTAACACACAAACCAATGGGACAGTTGTAAAGAACATCCCACTCAATAAAATGAGTAAACTGCCATCTATATGAGTTCTAGCTCTATTCACAAATTACATAATAATCAAGCAGAAATTCAAGTTTCAAGTTTCAGGATTACCCTCGCTTGGATATTTGAATCAATTTTGTCATAATAGATTCCATAAAGTGAAATATTACCTCCAATTAATCAAATGGCTTCATTTAATTGAAAAATGTTTGCAGTTTAGAGAATCAACAATGTCTTAATTATGGAAATTCCCAGTCTACAGCTTACATAAAGAGCAGCAGCTGATGTAATTAATAAAGGAGGCAATTTGAACGACTTTATACTAGGTTAAGCATGTGCGTATATGGGACAGTGTTCCAGCACCTATAATACGTTCCTCTATAAACAGATCATGGGATTCTACATGTATGTAGAGTACTCATTTTTAGGCATGTGGATCATAATTAAGTTCAACTTCTAGGTAAATATTTTTATGCAGTTCATTACTGATCCAGTTATCTTAAACATGAGACAATTTAAACATTATAAACCCATGGGATGGGAAGATTTGTCATCATTTTGTTATCATTTGCAGATATCATTTGATTTCTTGTTCCAAAAAATAATGATTTTTCTTATCTGGAGGATTTTTATTTTATGTTAGAAACTAATCCCCAAATCAGTTCAATCCCAATAGCAGACAATCCCCGTAGCAGACAAAAACAATTTTTGGTAAAAGATAATAAAAGGACCTCTGATAACTCACAAATACTCCTTGGTTGAGTTATGATAAACACATATGTAAATATGATGAAGGCTTAATGAAGTCAAGATGTTTTGACATTGTAAAAAGATAAAAAGGAAAACTAATATCTTAGATAATGATACATTGACATCATTTTCCATAGTTTTAACTCATAGTGCTACTGAACTTTTATTAGAAGTGAAGGCTTTCTGCAAATGATATACCAATTGCGTGGAGTACATTATTTTATTTGGTGCCTTTTATCCAGGGGGTCATTAACAGAACTTTTCGCAAATTCGTAATTCATAACTTTATGAAATTCGTAAAACCATGATTATGTTCAATCAAATTAAGTCACTTTAAAAACTTATATCCATCCTCTAAATTATTCAACTCTGTGGGTTATTCATTGATTTATCATCTTGCCCAAAAAATGCTCAAAATAGCTGGAGTTCACCCAACATACCAAAAACAGAACTTGTTCCTAGTCTGATAATGAATAATTCATTGTGCATTCTTTAAGATATAGGTAGTTCACGTCTAAGTAATTTTAGATGTCAAGTCATATATCACTCACCTTCGCCAAAGCACTCAGGACTTAATGACATGTCATCAATCGCGATATCCCCCGTGTACCTCATTCCTCTCTTTGCCACAAATCTTAGCACATAACTGCAATAAAGTACATACACTCATTATTTGTCATAAAAAGGGGAAATCGTCCCGATTCTTACTTGGTCCTAATTTTTATGCAATTATGTGTATCTAAAGTTTTCTAAAACCACAAAAATGTTAGTATTTATGCAATTATTAAAAATCATTTCGCCTATTACTAAAACGTTTACATTCAGTCTTGAGTTGGCTCATCAAAGGTTGTAAATTTTATACTCCAGTTTCATTGTGTCAATTTAACAGGAAAGAGATATTCTAGTTGAGGGCTAGACCTAAAGTAGACTTATAAGGTAAATACATGTATGTAGACTCATTAGGTACAAATGATGTGACAGTTGACTTATTAAGTACAAATGATGTGACAGTTGACTCATTAGGTAAAAATGATGTGACAGTTGACTTATTAGGCAAAATGATGTGACAGTTGACTTGTTAGGTAAAAATGATGTGACAGGTGACTTATTAGGCAAAATGATGTGACAGTTGACTTGTTAGGTAAAAATGATGTGACAGTTGACTTATTAGGCAAAATGATGTGACAGTTGACTTATTAGGCAAAAATTATGTGACAGTTGACTTATTAGGCAAAAATCATGTGACAGTTTACTTATTAGGTAAAACTGATGTGACAGTTGACTTTTTAGGCAAAAGTGATGTGACAGTTGACTTATTAGGTACAAATGATGTGACAGTTGACTTATTAGGTAAAACTGATGTGACAGTTGACTTATTAGGCAAAAATGATGTGACAGTTGACTTATTAGGTACAAATGATGTGACAGTTGACTTATTAGGCAAAATGATGTGACAGTTGACTTATTAGGCAAAAATGATGTGACAGTTGACTTATTAGGCAAAATGATGTGACAGTTGACTTATTAGGCAAAATGATGTGATCATAAACATTCAACCACAACATGTGTACCATAGACCCATTTTCAAGTCATTCAAGTTTAGACAAAAATATATTAATGATCATTTTGGGTCAACCAAAAGTGCACCAAATATTTTCTTTCAAATATTATAGCACCGGGTACATAGCCTGTTATTTGGAATCATTGTCCAAAATGAATAATGGTTATAAAATACCAGGCCCATGTACATGTATATACCTGCTTGACATTGCTGGTATGGGAACAGTAGCCCTGTACCAATGGTCCTCGTTGATGCCATACTTCCTAAAGATCTGTCTGTAGGTTTTCCTTTCCGTATTGTCCAAATTTGTATGTACAAAAACTTCTAAAGCTGCTGTGTGTTTCCCAAACATATGATAGTAGAATCTAACCTAGATTGATAAAATACACAACCATTAAAATAACTTAAGCATTTGCATATACATGTAGCACTTTTTCATTATCTCATATACACCCTCAATCCGCACTCTGGAATCATGAGAAATTGTGTATACTTACAATAGGGGATTCAGAGTTAGGGAATGCAAAGTTATTACCTGACAGGATCTGCTATAGTAAGAGTCTGGGTGGGTTGCTTCTTTTGGTGGGGGAGGGAACCTGGGGGTCTCTAACTGAGCAATTGCCCCCATCTTCTGATCACTTGTCTCTATGTACATATAGTAACCTGGAACACATGATGACAATTAAGACAAGGCATTGACATACAAAATGTCACCACCTGCCATTTGTTACAGATATCGACCATATGTCACCACTTCTGGACTTGAAATCTACTACTTTGCATGTTTATTCAATAGGGAACAACTGGAGAAAAATAAATAATGCAAAAAAGATTGTACTGATATGCCCTCTTTTGGGCACCAAATGGCCGAAACTGTCTGTTTTCATATCATACACATGTTTGAAACTCTCATTACCTTTATTTTGAATTGTAAATCATGGTCATTACTTTTCAAAAGTTTTACCTGTTTCATTGCCATATGTGTGATCAAAGGATGGTCCCGTCTTTTCACTTGGTGTCTTCCCTTGGTGACGTGTCCAGTTGAACTGTCTTTGATCTTTTTCATCAGAGTCTGCGGTGACGTGCTTCCATCCACACATACCATCCTCAAATGAACAACTGGCAGATGCTGGTAGATCTCCTAAGAACATTTACATGATGAAAATTAGCACAAGTTTTGAGAAAGGTGAGGGGGAGTGAGGAAAGAGGGAGAGGAGAACAGGGGAAAGATAAGGAAATGACAACAGAGAGAGGGTCATAGGGAAGAGGGGATAAAGGAGAGGGCAAAAAATGCAAAAACAAAGGACAGGTAAAGTTTTGAGCACAATCAAACAATAAAAGTTTACACTCGAAAGTACATCACTCTTCTATTTTGGGCCAATAATATCAAAGTTTATTTTAACTAATCAGAGAGTGCATACTAGTCTCACTGCTGTCTTACAAATGGCATGCTCTGATTGGCTTGGTGAATTAAGATCAGCAACGTAAATGTGCTCGTTCTTACAAAGGGATCGGGACTCACCACACAATTCAGGACTTTCATCTCCTCCATATAAACACTGTTGCTCAAGATCACAGACCTTGTCTCTGTTTATACATTTGCCGGTGCCACCGCATCTAAACTCTGCCATGCTGCATGTGTGATTTGAACTTGGTAGATCTGGAATTAAACATGAACTGTCCCTTAACGACAAAATCTTAAACGAGTGGAATTCATTATCTCAACAGCATATCAATGATGCTATTGGCCCGTTCAAGATTGAGAGCTATAATTGGTCAAAATGAAAAAACTTGATTTAAGCAAGTTTTTGAAAAACTGTTTTGAAACGAAAATGACATCATTTGTATTATGGAAGCTGGTTGACATGTATTATAATAAATTTGAACTTATGATAACTCAAATTAAAGATAAATAAATTAACTATGGTATATAATATGACATGTTCATCAATAAAATCAAAATTAATTTTTGAAATATGATTGTCCCATTTTTTGGACCACCCTGTACAACTTCATATGCAATTTGTAATACAGATATCAGAACAACTAGTTAAAATTGAACTTTACAGTTTATTGGTTATTGATTACACTCAGTATAAAAATATAAAAAGAAGAAAAGAAGTAAAATTAAAGTTTAAACAGGGTGATCATAAAGTTCTGATATACATCTGTATGTTTCACTTTTATATTTTATTGTCTTTTTTTATGTTATGATACTTTGATGTACCTCCAGGTCTATAACCTTTCTATGTTGCATATAAACAGTGGATTATTACTTGCGACAGATGCATGGCTATTTCTCTTTGATCTGAAATATTTGAATAATATGCAAGTACCTGGATCGCAGTTAGGTAAACTGATGGAGTCCAAAGCCATGAAGGCCTGCTCTCCTATACCCCTGATTCCCACAAACTGCAGACGGAACGGTTCACTGATCTCTCCAAGAGCAATTTCATTGAGACCCCAGCTGAAAATAGAAATAAAAATACCAGTTAACATGAGGAAAGGGATATATGAGGGGTGATCAAAAAGTAATTGAAAATAAACATGAGTAAATAGTGATACATGTCAGGCCCATAGCCAGGATTAGCCCAGGGAGGTTCACTTTTTAAAATATCCTAGGGGGTTCACTAGAGTCAACTTTGGCCCGAATATGGCCAAAATCACTCAGAATGGTGAAAACTGCATGATTTTGAAATAATTTTTAGTGATAAACAAAATCACTTATAAACAAAAACACACATCTATTATTTACATTTTGCGGCATATATTGACTAGATAACTGAATGGTCATAATCAAGTAAAATAAAACAAACAACATTGAATAGATGGCATAATTACTCAGGATAAAATATTTCTTTGGAATGTGAAAATCTATAATTTCATTTTAAAGATAGATGTCATGTCAGTATGTTAGCCTGAGGGCTATACTAATGCGCCATCTATAAATGAGAGAAGAATAATTCTCTGATATCGAGTCAAATTATAGTCACCTGCAAGAGATACTAGAAACGTTTCTTTCAATTAAACCTGTCAGATTCTCAATGTAATTACTAGCAATGAACAGACTAGTGGCAACTGTCTCGATTATATGCCAATGAACATTATACAAATAGTGACTGCCATTGAGGGCAATAGTGTAAATTATTTCCCCGAGGGAATATCCTCTACAATGTACTATTCCCGAAGCCGCAGGCTGAGGGAATAGTACATTGTAGAGGATATTCCCAAGGGGAAATCATTTACACTATTGCTCGAAATTAGGCAGTCACTATTTGTTTTATTATATACCCTATACTGACTCTTGTCCCGTTTCCTCTGCGAAGGCCAAAAAGGCTTAGAAAGCCCCCTCCCCGGGTCCATTGTTAGCATTAGCTGTGACGTCATCAGATGCTCAACAGAAATTTTTGCCTCTGAGACTCTCACATGACAAATTCAATCGCGTTTAACACGCGGAATATATTATCATAACACTTGAAATTACACAGACGTATTGAGCTTAGGGAACTTTATACACGTTGCTTATATTGTATCGTTCACGCGCGTCTGTCATGATGAACGGAGTTGATTTGTGTTTGTGCTCATCCTCCATTTTTCTGTTTTTCGTCTGCGCAGTGATGATGCGCAGACGTTTCCAAGGGTAATAGAAGTTGCAATCGTGACGTCAGCGGGCAATAGTTCAAATGTATATTCCCGCTGACGTCACATTTGAGGGAATATAACTTTCCGAGGGAAATAGTAAATCTATTTCGGAGCACGTGACTAGGTATTGACCAATCAGGATTAGTGTTACATATTGGGTATATAATAAAACCAAATATGGACAAAGATGACATTACATATATTACATTTACCATGTTGAAATTGTTTTGTAATTTTCATTTCATCCTTTATACATTAAAAAATTGACTTATTTTAACATGCCCTCCAAAATATCAAAGCATTAACCAGACAAAATGTCATCAACTGGTAAGTTATTACAAATGGTTCAAAAGTGTAACTATTGTTAAAAAAACAAACCATGCACCAAATACTGAAAACTAGTCAGTTAGTAATTCATTTCTGTGTACAATCATGAAATTGACAATGTGAAAATAGTATAGTAATTAGTATCTGACAGTTGGTAAGTAGATGGATGAACCTGTTTTACATCTCCCAATGCAAAAATATCAAGGGGTACTTTAATTGCGCTCCTATCAGATACCGCCTCTTTAAGCAATAAACATTATTATGTATTTCTCTTTGGGCAGAATTAAATACGTATACCTATACTTGAAACATACCAAAGGGCATTGTTACACTTGACATGTTCATTCAATTTGTATTATTATGTAACGTACCAGGTAAATGTATATGTAGTCACAGGTAAATACACACATTAGCACCTATTTACCTTTAATGAGCAATCCCTAAGAGAAAATAACATGATGAATTATCATTGCCCTGACTGAGAATATTATTGTTGTGGCCAGCCCCTGACTCTATATTGTTGAAATACAATAACATATGTTCCCATTGGTAAAATTCAAAGATTACATTGTCCCAATAAAATGCAATGGATTGTTTATTGTTTGTTTGTTCATTGTTTGTTTGTTTCTTGAAAAGGGAAAACAAGCAATGGTCCCTAGCAGTACAAAAATGCATGTGTGTCAACTATGAATTTTTAATTTGTGTTATTCAAAAACAATAAAAAATCATCAAAACTATGATTAAAAAAATATAAAATTCTTTAAGAGAAAGCTTCATATTTGTGTCTCCAAGAAGACTGTTAATCTGCAATTATCAGGTTTTCAAGTATTTACATCCAGTTGAAATAATATTTGATTATCAGATATCAACCAGCCTTATAACATCATAATGCTCATATTTTAAAATGCAATTTGAGTAAAAATGAGGGGATCTAGCAACAGATAAAGAACCAGCCTTTAAGTGTGTACTTTAAATTGTATAGAAATATGAGAAATGCAGACATGTCATTCAAAATTTTGTGAGAAAAGTGTAAAAATATCATGAGCAGACGGACAATTTAGGAAAATCAATTTGAATGGGATTTATCCATCTTGACTACTTGACTTTCCTGGTTAGCAACCAAGGTTTCAGACCCCTTCACCTAAATGTCAAATATCAGAACTAATTATATCAATAATTTATCAGTACATTTGTCTATTAATAAAACAGTCTTTAAGTGACATCGATTTAATAGATATCAGCTAGATTCTCATTGGGTATATTATATTGAGGCATCATTGTGTGTTCTCATGGAAACACAGAGAAACAACAGAAAAGTCCAGAGGTTTCTGATCAGCTCATGTCATTTTTTAAATTGTGATATTTTGTAATTTAATTACTTTTTCTAAAAATAATTGATATCATATCCAAAGAAGTAGAATAAGAAAATCAATTTACTTCTTTCTTTTCAGTGACCATTTTCCACAATTTTCAACAATAATGCTCTATTTTTCTTAAATTGTTTAATATCAGGCCAATGACCTGACACAAAACTGGAAATAACACTTATAAAATAAGTGAAACTGATATATTATGAAAAATGGTAGATATTTTAAGAACTGAGTTGCCATAAAAATTCCTTCTTCTACGTCCTATGCCAATACCTATTTTGATCCAAATATGACAAATGGTATTTGAGTTACCATGTACATAGACTGATGAATGTATTGACAAAATGACAGATTTTCTCTTTTCCTTATAAAATATCTTAATAAATCAAGATGGCTTACTAGGGCATCAATGAGAAATCTAGAACATTATAATATGTATACAGTGTGTGTCTTAGGATTTTTCTGTCACTCGCCAAGTGGCAATCAAGATGTGTTTTCACACTCACCAATGAGAAATTATACTCGCAACAGCATTGTCAATGATGATATGTACGTATACTCATGGTGTTCTTGTGAAAAAAAAACTTTAAAAATTGTATGTTTATAAAAATATGTTTATGAAATTAGTAAAATTGACTTAGTTCTATGAATAACAATGGCGAATTTTATGTTTTTCATGTTTGACAATGTGGCAAGGCACTTCAATTTTACACTAGACTCCAAATATTTACATCTGCCTTGGGCTACTGTCGAGTGGATATTATGACCCCTACTTTTTACAGTGCTACAGTTTCAAAAATGTACAAATGGAAGGTAATGAATGTTGTCAAGCATGCATGTTACTTTCATTTCCACACTACAGTAAAGGATGAAACTTACCCAGTAGAATGTTGCTCATCAAGTTTTTCCCAGATGTCCCGACTGATGTTGGAATTATGGGTAATAAGCCTCACTCTGAGAGTGCCGACTGTGACTCCCTTCATCTGTAGGTAGAATTGTAGTTTGCACTGGGGGCCACTAGACCCATACCATGGACTTGTGTATGTAGCCCGAAGCTCAGAGTCAACCAGCATTAGGTAATTGCCTGGAAATATAAAGGAAATAAATATACTTTTCTACCTACTATTATCTTTTTAAATAAACATTATTTAACAGGATTCCAAGATGGTGCATATTATCATTCATTACAATGATTTCAATTAAATGGATTTGCTTAATATACACAGGCAATATAATTTGGCGCCGTTTCGGCATCGATAAAATTTGGCGCCGTTCTGGCACCGTTTCGACACCGTTCCGGCACCGAAACCTTTTGACACCAAAATTTGGCACCGGACTAGTCAGTCCATTTGGTGTCGATACGGCACCAAAATTTGGCACCGAAACGGCATCAAAAATCAGATTGCATTTTGGGGGTGTAATACACAAATCTTATGTTCAAAGCTTATGAAATCTTTGTAGGAAAAAATCTTAGGAAAAAACAAATCATTGTGTAAGATTAACTGATGGGAAACATGGTTCTGCTGATACAGATAACAGCACTGCATGGGTTTTGCTGTTCATTATAATGAGATTTATAAATGTAAGACTCTTCATCTAATAAAATAAGTATATTTCCCCTGCCAGTATTTACGTATCATAAATCCCAATAAACATCAAAGTCAAGGATAGGTATAACCCCGGGGGGTATAACATATAACTCATGTATATTCCATCAGGTTCCTTGGCATAAGTTAATAGCTGACCAGTTTATAATCCAAAATAGTTGAATAAAAACATGAAGATTGATATGGAAACCCAAATTAGAAACTCTAGAAGAAAGAAAATAAGGGCGAAACAGTACACAGGAGTAGAATGAGATTTTTGATAAGGAATTCTGCGCTTAACAAGATTGGTGTTTGTGGTAGATCCACAAGGAAATCAAAGAGCATGTTTCTCTGCCGTCTATTATTGAAAAAAACTACACTATGCTCCTCACTATTTTTCGTTTCAATGAACTGATTAATTTTGTCACATTTCTGAACATTTGATGTGTTCCAACCGTTGCATCATATTCATTCATTCACTCATTTCTTTTGTTTCTATGTTATATTTGTCTTAACACATGACCATCCAAGTTTTCTTTATGGGCTGCATTAGGTTTATCTAATCTATACACAGGGGTGATGGAAGCTCTAAGGAGTGTTGTCAATAATTTACATAGAATCAATATAAAGTTACTCAGCTACAACCTAATTTAATTTAGAAAAGTGTATGTACTTTATACTATACTCTTAGTGAAAGCTTGATTTAATCTACTTACTCTTAAGATACATACATTATGCACGAGAAGAAAGTAGTATGAAGTAGAGTAAAAAAGGCATTAACATGCACAATGTCACCATTTGTCACAGACACCGTACACCGACCGCCAAAGACCGAACACCTTCCACAAAAACCTTGGAGACTATAAAAAGATGTCACCACTTGTGGTAGTGACATAAAATGAAACATCAATGAGAACAACCAGTCATATAATGAAAACAAACCCAACCATCCCAAACTATGTAACATGTAAAGGAACAATGTCTAATCTCCCCCCGCCCACCCTCACAATATATCACAATCCAAGACAACAAGATGAATTAGCAATAATTCTATGATTAAGCATATCTCCAATCAAAAGTCAGGAAATTATGACACCAAATAATTCTGCTCAGTAAGCACCTTGCATTTCCATTTTAAACCTTAATAGATGTTCATGAATGATCCCCATAGAAATGAGATCATTGAGACTATCATTGAGACTATATTCACTACGTGATCACTGTTCAGGTTAACTTCAATTCAACCCCAAAAACAAACATGCCATCCATTTTGTATAAACAGATAATGCAAAACCCTCGTGAAAATGAGTATTTACTAACGGAGTTCACAAAAAACACTGAGAGAGAAGATGACATCGGGCTAAAACTAATGTGCTAAAAAGCATACCAAGCAATCAAGATCTATTCAATAATAAAAATTTCAGAAATCTTCTGAGACTTTCTACTTATCCTACAAATCGATGATGTTGTGAGTTGCTTCTCTCCATGCTCCAGTTTTTGCTACTTGATATTCTTACTAACGAATGTGTCTTAATCTTTTGCATTTTGAAACAATAACGATTAGGAATACTTTACATAAATGTCAAACTGGGAAATCGTTATTGAGAATTTCCCTTATTTAATTTTGAATAAGATATTGTATTTAGTTAAAGACATAAAAATAGTTTAATCCATATTTCAATATATATATTTTTCATCAAATTTTACTGTTATAATAGATTTTCCCAAAAAACAGTTTTTCAATATCGCAAAGTCATACAGGAAGTCAGACCTAAAAACACCATTTGAATATACCTAAAAGGACCATCCATTACGATTTTTTATCAGAACCATACCCTGGAGAGACCACTCATATACTTCAGATGACAATCTAGTTTCCATGCATAAAATGTAAATAGTTTCCAGACAGTGGGGGGTTGATTGGTGTGTACAAAAATGTCAGCTACTACACTTCCCCCTTTCAACAGAAGTAGTTCCCACGGATCGGAGATATTAATTCTCACCAAACAATTTATCTTAATTCTCAGGTTGAAAAATCTATTAAGACTCCATGTAAATTTGCATACTTCCTTCCTGTTTGAGGGGAAAAACTGAAGAACAAATGTGTTGGATATAAAAAGATTCATAAGAGCGTTTAATGTGGTTTTGTGTGTGCATTGTGCTACGTTAAGTCTGAGGACAAATTTTACATGTAAAATATGAAAATAGAAATAAGAACAGTATTTTGAATTGACAAGGAAAAATTAAATAAGGCATTGACAAAATAAAATGTAATTGCAAACTGTGACAATTCATTACAAATAGACATGTAATTTTCATATACATGTATGTATGTATTTTTATTTGCTTGTACCGAGGTTTGGGTAATAAGGATATTCTTCATGAATTTCTCATCAGTTACATAATAATTATTCCAGTGAAATTAACTTCCAGTAGCATTGCACTATAAAACCTTTTAAATGGGCCCTTATAATAAAATAGCAAGGTCATATTGAAAACAGTAAGGGAGCGCGAGGAGTCGAGGACAGAAATATATATAAAAAAGAAGTCCTATATCATTATTCTCATTTGTTATTTCGTGAACAGGTTTTATGAAAAAACGTAATTCAACTACTACAAAATTCCCAACACAATTAGCCTGATATATTCACCAGACAGTTTATTATTATTCTAAGTAGTATAGGGAGATGTGAGCTGAACCCCCACTGACTACAAATCAAATAAAACTCATATCCACCATTTTCATAATATTTACTTGATTAATAGCAATGAAATCATTGCTATCGATAGGTTATTATATAAATGTATTAGTATTTTGTAAATGTTTGACATTACATTTGATCCCTGGGAGAGTTAAGGTTTCATTAAATTAATCTGGTATAAGCTCATACACCTACACTATGACCCCCTCATAGCAAACTCCTGTACTTACATGAAAACAAATGTAAAATGAAATGAAATTAACAAGGAATTAATTAAATAGACATGAAATTAATATCAATTGTTGAGAAATGCCAGGAAAACAGGGAGATGCACATTTAAAAAAGTAAATCAGAGAAAAAATGGTAAAAAAATACTTAAACATGTCCTACCAATTGCATGTGTGATGAATGTGAGAGACAAATGGCAAGTCTGGTAAATACACCAACAAGTACTTATATTAATGAAGGTGAACCCCATGCAGACTGAACAGTTTCTAGGGGAGCAATTTGTCTGAAGTCGTACTAATGATATTGGTTCCCTGGCTTGAATCAACAAATCTTTGGACCTGACTGATATAATTCTTAAAAACTACTTTTTATGAGTTTATTGAAAGGACAAATGAAAGTGCTTTTGATAATAGTATAAAATGCAAGATATATAGAAAGATAAGCTCTAACTCTGTTCAGAATTGAGTAAATCTAACTGGCATTAGCAACATTCCTTCATCTGATTGATATATAATATATTTATACAGACAGGTGGTGAGTACATTTTTATCAAACTCACATTTTTCATATCAACAGCATTTCCAATTCTTGCAATTTCTTTTCAAAATATTTGCAGTTGTCACCTTAACACTTCAAAGATTGAAAAAATTTGCTTTGTTTTGGTCCCAAAAGTTTCTTTTACCAATTGTGTTTTTTGTTGAGAAAATAGGCCTTTTTGTTACCAACTTTCTGAAATAGGCATAAATTTTCACAAAAAGGAACCTAATTCTTCCCCTTCTTGTTAATTTCCAGAACCAACCCTTGATTTTCAAGGGCTGGAGATTTTAATATAAAAGTATATAGATGCAAGGTATATTACATAATTTGCTTCTTTGCTAAACCATCCAAAATCAACAGAGTACAAGATGACAAATTATGGTTTAGACGAATTACACCAGGATCAAACAGCCGCTGCAGAGGTAATGTAAACAAACCCTCTCCCTGCTCTAGAAAATTATTTTTGACAAAGATAAAGTACGATTTTATTTGATAATTGATGAAGCTTTTCTGCAGGATATGAAGGTCCCTGTGTATCCATCAACATGCTATATCTTTGCATGTGTTCCTACCTTTTAACCCCTCACACTAGGTGCATTAGTGCGCACATCTAGGGTGGCATTACAGACCCATTTTTACATTCCCTTAGTAAAAATTAAACTAAAATTAACAATAAAATGTATCTTCAAGTTTTAGAATGAAATGACACAGAATGAGTGTTTGAACAGGCTGATATTTGAAACACAATTAACTAACAGCCCCTAAGTTGTATCATCTCCATGGATACTAAGATGAGTAACATTCAGCTATTTGTTTTCACTTGATTAACTCTACCGGATCAATTGTCACAGCAAACTCCTACAGGTTTCCTGAAGTCTATATACCGGTAATAAAAGCCTTGAGAGTGAATTATGCACATACTGTATGTACTTTTACATTTTGTACTTCATGAATGCAGCTTCATTAAGCTGCAACACACCTGATTGCATAATTGTGTCTCATCACAGTAGACTTTGTCACTTATGAATTAA